ATTATTGCGACCTGGGAAGGAACCATGGTCTCTGCCTGCTCCCCACCCCCCCCACCTGCCCCCTCCAGGAGGGGGGGGAGCCCAGCCTAGGTCTTGTGGGTGAAGCGGGCCCACACCTGCTGCAGCTGGGACCGCGAGATGCGGAGCACCGAGGGCACGAGTCTGTGGTTGCCGGCGGCGAGGGGCGCGTGGCGCCGGTGGGGCGCCCGCACGGGGCTGCTCTCCGCCGAGCGGCTGCGCTGAATGAGGGAACCGGAGGAGCCGCCGCCGCCAGGGTGAGGGTAATGCTCGGTCTCCAGCGTGGAGGAGGAGAACACGGAGGACGCCAGTCGTCGCAGAGGGCTGTACCGCGGGAGGGAGTGCCCCGAGAGTCTGTCCTCCTCCAACTGAAAGAGACCAAGAGAGTGGAGGGAAAAGAGGCGTCAGGCACAGACTCGACAGCTCCGTCTCGGGGGGGCCACCCACCGCTCACAGCCCCTGCGGCGCTGGCGTCCCGGGCAGGGCGGGGGGCAGGGTCGGCCAGGTGGAGGGGTGCACACTGCCCCGTCCAACCTCAGAACCTAGCCTCTGGCCTCCAACTCCCTTCCCAGTTCTCCTCCTCTCTGGCACTTCTCACACCTCTGTCTCCTTGCGGAGACCTTGGTCACTCACCTCCCCTGGGCAGCCTTCCTGCCTTAGCCGGTGGGAGCTCAGAGCTCCCTCTGGGCTTGAGGAGTCCTCCGCCCTCCCCCCCAGGAAGGCCCCTCTGCAACTGTTACCTGCCATCTGTCTCCCCAGCTGTACTCCTTACTCCTCATGACGTGGTCCAGAGAACATTCCCTGCACACCCTCTGCCTGTACCACAGCGGGATGCCAGGGTCTCAGTGAACAAAATGTAGCAGAATGGTAGGACTCTGGAGTCCGGCTATCCACGTTTGAATCCCAGCTCTAACACTCACTACCTGGGTGACCTCAAGCAAGCCACTTCACTTCTCCTGCCTCAGCTTCCTCACCTGTCAATGGGAGTAATAATGGTTCCCACCTCATAGGATTGTTATAAGGATTAGGTGTTTATAATATGCACAGCACTTAGGACTGCCTTGGAGTAAATGCTGTGTCATGTGAGCTGTTCCAGTATCCTTTAAGTCACTCTTGAGAATGAGGAAAGGAATAGAGGACTGGTAGGAGAGGCAAACAGAAACCATTTCTCCAAAGTGGCTTTTCCCCCAGTCCTCTCCAAGGCGGAGCCACAAGGCAGCCGGTGCGAGGGGGTTGGCCACCTCACAGATATCTGGAAGAATCCTGTTTGTGCCCTCTTGGCCTCATACCCTGAGAAGGAAAAGGGAAAGTGGGCCTGTGCATCCCAGGCCCGTGGGGACGGAAATGGTGACTGGGGTGTCGCCAGACCTTTCCCATCCTGACCCCTAGCTCTTCCTGTGACTGAAGTCAGTTTAAATAGCTTTTGGTGGGTCCTGAGGACTGGGCTGGGCCAGCTGCCAGAAAGCTGAAGGAGTGGTGGGGTGGGGTGGGCCCAGGACACTCAGTTCCAGTGCCCCCTTATAGATGTCAAATGGGGACACAGGGGCCCAACATGGAGCCTCCATCAGAGAGAGGGGGAGACAGAAGATTCTGATAGGATTGTCTTTGGCCCCACCCTGCTTTTCCTTCCAGCTCCTTCTGAGCTGGCGGTCCTGGCTGCACGGAGGGTTAGGGGTCCGAGGCCCTCCATCCAAGCGATAGAGACACCAGCCCACGGCTCCCCTCGCAGCACACGTGCGCAGTCTAACACCCCAGCCAGAGTGTGGCAGCTTCCGGAAGGACTTAATCCCAGCGTGCTCCTGCCCTTCACTTGCCTTCCATGCCCGGTTGAAGTGCCACCTTTGTGAGACCACCCAGCTTCCCAGGCAGGCCCCCCCTTCTAGCAAAGAAGAGTTCTCTGCTCTCCGCTTTATGGCCCTTGCCAATAAACACCCATGTCCACACCTTTGCGTCCCCACCCACGCCTGAGAACTGCGGGCTCTGAAAGAGAACTGTGAAGCCTTATTCATCTTTGTCCCCAGCCCCCAGCACGCTGCCTGGCACGTGGCAGAGAAATGCTCTAGCGGCGGCCAAGCAAATGTCCATGCACTCAGAGAATGCTGGCCTGCTGTGTTATCAGCCAGAGACAACCGGCAAAGGATGGTAAACATCTCTCCCCCAAAATCACACACCCTCTGCTGCCTTCCCCTTGGCCTTAGCTTTCCAGCCACGACTAATTTGCACCTTAAATTCCCTGCAGAAGAAAGCAGTGCGTGTGTAGAAAGTTTAACATATCATGGCATTCACACCGAGGAACAATAGATGCTCTAAAATTGCGCCTGGTTCCACATTATCCTCGTCCCTGCTCCCCACAGTGTTGCAGGTGTTTGTATCTTTAAGGATTACTGTTATGAGGAAGTTCACACATGAGATGCTGAGCAGAGCAAGCTAGATCTAGGAGGGGATTCCCTGCAGAAAGGTGGCAGGGTGGTTCCAGTGTGCAGCCAGTCTTGGGAGCCCCCGCATAGCCTGGACTCAGGACTCCTTTCAAACCAAAGAAAGAAGGAACAAATGTGCCAGTCCACTTCTCCGTCTTCCTCTGCCCTTGACAAGGAGGGTCTCTGCCTCCTTCACCTGGACTGTGCTGTACTGAAATACTCGGTAAAACATGTCACACCCCGTGTGCGCACACATAGCCGCACACACACACACACACACACAGGCCACCGTGAACACTGCTGTGCCCAAGGCACACCTGCTGACGTGGCCCAGCCAGCGGGTGAACACATACACGTGCATTCACACACATAAGTACTCCGGTTCTCTCTGACCCTACACGATGCTGCTCTCTCTGGCCTGTGTCTGCTCCTCTCCTAAACTCACAGGCCTCAGACAGCGCTCACCCAGCTCTACCTCTTGCCCCCTGGTGATCTCGGGCTAAAGGCTTAGGCCCTCCCAGCCTTGGTTTCCTTACCTTTTGAAGGCGGGGAGGGGGGGGTGTCTCCTTATTTGCATTAATTGTTGTGAGGAAGACACACGTGAAATACGGAGGCATTAAGAGCAATGCATCTCTCTCTGGTCACTGTCACCAGAATTTTTGCTCTGATGATCATCAGCCCTCCAGCTTTGCTATCCCAGCTCCCAGGGTTCCCTGTGCTCTTGCAGACCCGCTGCATGCTCCACAGACACACCACTGTGTGTGCACACCCACACCCATGTGCGCTCCTGAGCTGAGCTGATACAGAAATGCACACACGCAGCCAAAGAATGCTAACCAACTTCGCTGCCGTGCACTATGGGGAAACCAAGTCCCCACTTAACGCCCCCTCCAGACACATACAACTCACTGCCTGTCCACAGCACGAGCAGGACCTGAGCCCAAGGCTGAGACTGAACAAGTCCCCTGCGCCCGCTTCCCCAACTCTTTCTCCTTACCCCCTTGGCTGGAATTCCCCAAAGCAAGGGTGTTTCCCAGGACCTGGAAGGAATCTGAAGGTGAGAAAAACCTCCCAGATAGCTCAGCTCCCTCTCTGAGACCCAACTGGCCTGCAGTCACCAGGAGGGGACCAGCAGAGAGCCCAGGTCCAGAATCTAGGCCTCCTGACTTGGATTCTGGGCTCTCTCTACCCTCTACCACCACTGTCAGTCTCCCCTCCTAGACTCTGCACTTCCTGTGGGTGCAAATGACCTCTGGTGCATCTGGGACCTGCCACAGGCTACATGCTCAGCAAGTGTGGAATGACTAGGTATTGAACAAATGAATGAACGCAGGAAAAAATGAGAGGGGAGCAAGGTGGAATCGCAAACCGATCTTGCTTCTTCTGCTTACCCAGTGCTGGCCTGGTGGGCACAATGTCTAGGTCAACAACAGTCATGCTAGCCCATACTCTGCCCTGGCTGAGCCTCCAATTTAGGTTGGCTAGGACCTCTCTCAGAGTTCCCACTTTTATAGTCCAGAATCCAGGGCACAGCTAAGACGCACACCCCTTGGGATCTCAGCTCAGAGACCCTCTCTTCTAGACGTGGGGATGGGGCCTGAACATAGCCCTGCCTGGAGCTGCCCTTCTCCAGGGCACCCACATGCTCCCAGGCCGGGCCTCCCAATCTGAGCACACAGCAGAACTGACCCCGGCCCTGGGCCCTGCTCCTTGGATTTCCCAGAGCCACCTGGTGCACACCCCTAACGTGGGGTGACTGAGTGGAACGCGGCACAGCCCCAGAGCCCTCCAGCATCACCTCTTTGGCCCTCCTCAGCCCCTCAGAGGAGACATGCTCCTTTCAAAACCACCAGTGACAGCACTGCTGTCCATCCAGAACTCAGCCGGGAACCCTCTGCTCACAGCCCGCTCAGTTCTTTCCCCAACACCTCTTGGTTCTGTCCGCCTTGCCCCACGTCCAGAGCGCCCACCCTGGTCCAAGCCACCAGGGCACTCTCTTGCTGGCACCTGCTGTGTGGCCTTCCTACTGGCAGTTCTGTGCCTTTTAATCCGTTTTCACACAGCAGCCAGAGGGATCATTCAAGAGGACCAAGGTAAACATATGTCACACCCCTGTTTCAAAGCCTCGGGTGGCTCACCGAGTCCTCAGAATCAAGCTCTAACCCTTTAGCTCACCCCCAAGGCCCTCCAGGATGGAGCCAGGGACCTACCCCTCAGCTTCATCTGCTGCAACATGCAATCAGCGCAGTGCTTTCTGACTGCCACCTCCGGGCCTTTGTACACACTGTCTGCTTGGCCTGGGAGGCCTTTCTCCTGTTTTGTCACCTGGCTGACACTGCTCATAATGCAAAACTCAACTCAGAACGTTGAGGGTGCCTTCTCTGGAAGCTTTGACTGTCCCCCAAGCATGGTTTTGGACCCTGAAATCTGTCTACCTTCATCACAGCCTGCAACTGTTGGGTGCTATTCAATAACCCCCATAGAGCACACAAGGAGCACATCAAGAGCGCTCCAAGCAAAAACTATAGGCATCCAGGGGTGGGGAGTGGGTGCAAGCCGCCTTACCTGTCTCTGCGGGCCTGTGGGATCGGACTCTCTCCGTCGAGGCCGGGGTCCCGAGTGCAGGGGCGAGTGGGAAGGGCTGCCGGGCGTGGGGGGCTGCGACGTCTCTGACCGGCCATCAGCTTGGCTCAGCTGGGGTGGTAGGGGCTGGGTTGGAATCTGCCGAGGGTCCTCCTCAGCCAGCGTCTGCATGCCTCGTCCCCGGGGCCTGACGGCGGGCTCTGCCCCTGGCCGCCGCCGCTCCTCGCCCTCCTCGGGCAGCGGCCGCAGCTCCTCGGGCTCCTCGTCCGTGGTGCCCGATGTGCTGGGCTCGGCCCCCGGGGGGAAGTCCTTGAGCTCTGTCTCCTTGTCAATGATGACCCACTCCTTGCTGTCAAAGTCCTCCTCCTCGGCCAGCGGCACTGAGCGGAAGGCGTTGCTAAGGGCCTCCTGCTCCACGGAGGCTGACACGTCCATGCGGCCGCTGGCCTGCCGATCGGCGTGGCCTGTGTCCACTGAGAGCATCTGGGCCGGCTGCGAAGAGCAGGCTTGGCGCGAGGGTGAGCCGGGCAGATCCATTCGTGACCTGCAAAGCCAGCCCACAGGAGGCTCAGTGCCAAGCCTCTCCAAATCTCCAAGGAACTCGAGTAGGTGGCCAGGTGCAATGTGACCCCTAGAACCTACTGACCACAGCATCTCTCCCACCCTGGGCCAGGCCCGGTCACCTCCTAGATTACCACCCCCTAACCTCACTCCCCACAAAGATTTCATTCATCCATTCATGCATTCATTCCCTTCAACACATGTATTTGAATGCTTACTGTGTTCCAGGAATACAAACATGCAGAAAATAAAACCTGGTTCCTGTGCCCAAGGAACGCTCTCTTCTGGACCAGCCAGGAAACTTAATCTCCCTAAGGCCCACTTTATGCTTGCTGGTCCAGTGCTCACACTCCGTCAGAGGCTGCCTCCAGGGCAAACACACCCATCTCGCCCTTCAGTTTGCAGATGAGCTTTCTAGCTTCTTCTACCACCACCTCCAGGTCTGGCTGGCTGGTTTCACCACCCCTAGCAAACTCCAGTGGCTCCCAGCCCCGATGACAAAGTCTATGTTGCTTAGCATGGCACTCAAGCAGCCAGACTAAGGCCCAGTATCACCATTCTCCCAGCCGGACCCAAGTCAGGGTCACTGGCTTTTCCCCAAATTGCGCATGTGCTCATATTTCTGTGCCATTACACACGTCACTCTCTCCACATGGCCTGACCTTCCACCCTTTGCTGTCCCAAGCAGCTTGGATGTCACTTCCTGTGGGGGGAGCCTTTCCATCCTGCCTGGGGGGCTACTTTGCCTTCCCAGCACCGTCTGTGCGCCCCTGTCCTCACAGAGCGGAGCCCGTGTGTTTACATACCTGTCTCCCCACGAGGCCGTGAGCCCTGCCAGCCAGGGACTGGGTCCCATCTCACTCTGGGGCAGTGATCCTACCTTGGGACACCTCTTCCGTTGTTACCTTACACTGTGCTGTGAACCTCACATTACTTCCAGAGGTTCTCAACTGGAGGGGAGGGTACCAGTGCCAAGGTGAAGATTTTGCTGCCTGCAGGAAGCTACACAAAGGCCAGGGTGCCCCCACCGAGGACCACGGAGGCTTAGCTCCCCTGGGGTTGTGCACACCCTCATGCTCAGGCTGTGGGCAGGGGGCTGACTTTTTTTCTCCCGCAGCCTTGAGCCTGTGAGACAGAGGGGTGCAGTTCAGAGCCACTGTGGGGCTTTCTCAACATTCCCCTGCCCTGGTCTGTGGGACCTACCAACTCCTCCCTCTCCACAAGATTTGTATTGATTTAATAAGGCTTTAAATACAAACATCCCTGAGGTGGGCCACCCAGGGTCCTACACTGATGCTCCCATGCGAATGGCTGGTGTTGCTTCCTTTCCTGAGAGCATGGTTTGTTTTGATGGACACAAAGGAGAGAGGGGCTGAAGGGGAAAAGGGGGGCGAGGAAAGGGGAGAAGGAGGGAAATCCAAATCCCATCTGCTTCATACTTTTTCCTGCTCCCAGGTGTCCCAGAGCCCACCCAAACCCTCCGCCCTGCCTACGAGATCCTGAACCTTCCCTTCCAGAAAATCTCTCCTCAGCCGCCTCCTCTTCCCATCATCCCTGAAACAAGGTGTTCATTCTGAATCAAACCAGTTTGCTCTTCAGGACTGTCTTTGTTCGGGGCATTCCCACCTCTCTTCTCCACTGATATCCCTTCCAAACTGCCGTTCCTCAGTTCTCCTTGTTTCCTGAACCCTCTGGGCTACCATGGATGAAAATGTGGTCTTCAGTCCCAGGGAGGCCAACCTGTGTGAGTGTGAGTGTATGTGTGAGGGCTGTTGGCCACCTGAGCACAGGGCCCACATCCCTCTGTCCTGGGGGTGCCGTGGGGACTGGTATAGGGCTCCCCTGTCTTAAGTACTGCCATGCTCCAAAGGGGCGCCGTGCCCCATCCCAGAGGCAGAGTGCAGTCTGGAGCACAAGCCAGAGGAGGGGCCATGAATGAGATGGGGATGAGGCACACTGGGCCCTCCTAGGCTGGGCCTTGGGAAAAGACCCCTTTCCTGGTGCGGAGAAGACCTCAGCCCTGCTGTGAGGTCAAGCCCCGCCCAGAGCCAAGCGAGGGTGGGGACATCTCTCACAGGCCTCTCCCACCTGAGCTGTCCTACCCACTGGACAGCTCATCCAGGCTTCTGACTCTGGTCCCTGATGGCCATGGACCACCCTCACATTCGCACCCCCACCCCTCCATCCTGAAGGATCGTTTTGGCTCTAAACTCTCCTCCCACCAACCAGGTCCCCCCTGTGACATTCAGATCCCTGAGCCCTGACCCCCAAAACCTGATCCACCACTCTTGGAGTTGAGCACTCCCTGGGCTCTCCTCCCAGGGCCCTCCCCCACAGCTGAAGGGAGCCTAGTCAGCTGCTCTGAGGCACCTGTAATTAGTCTCTAGGGAGAGGTTCTGGAAGCACACCCACCTACCACCTCACCCCTCAGCCTCCTCCTGGGCCAAGGGACCCAGCTTCCCACTCGTATGGCATGCCTCCACCCTACATCCCTTTGTGGCATGAGCTGGGGCCTCTGTATCTGGCCCCCTCCAACCAACCAAGTCTGACCCCAGGCCCTAGTATAACCCTCTCAACACTCCTGCCCCCCCCCCCAACCTTGCATCTAATCTTTCCTACAGACCAGCCACGTGAAGGCTGAGGGGGCCAGAAGGCCCTTGGCCGTCCCCCTAGCCCCAGACCTACCTCCTCTCATGCAGTTCCACCCGCCCATCCGCTGTGGAAAGCCTCTCAGACTCAGGGCTGTTGACCCTCCGGTAGCGAAGAGAACGGACTGGGGTTGTCGGTGAGTCTGGAGGGGCCCGCACCGGGGAGCTTGGGACCCCCACACCTCGGCTCTGCTCCTCTTCCACCACACAAGGGGTCTGCAGGAGAGGGGAGTGCCATGAACTGGGGCTGACAGGGCGGCTGTGGGTCAAGTGGTTTTCCCAGGGTGAAGGAGATTGAGGGAGGTCGACGCTGGTGATCCTGACATGGGGCAAGGCCACGGAGACAGGGCAGGTGGGCACATGGCTGGGGAGAGGGCACACAGGAGGAGCGGGAGGGGGGCCATGGGTTGGGAACCAGGGTGGGAGCGGGGGAAGGCCACCCACGTCCTTCTCTCTGGCTGCAGTTACTTTGCCGATGTTGATCCGGAGTTTGTTCCGGTTGACATCCGTCTCCTCCCAGACTTCAGCCTCAGGACCCCCGGGGTGGGGGGCAAGGTGGGGGCTGGGACCCAGCCCCTCAGGGGGCCGCCCAGGCAAGATTGGGGGTGCGTTCTCCTGGTCACTCAGGTGCTCGCCCTGCAGCACGTCCTCGGTGTTCTCCCGGAGCAGGTCCCCGGGCACTGGCGTCACGTTGACCACCCTGGAGAGGCCAGGAGGGGCCATGGGCAAGGCTGGCAGAGGTTCTCTCTCCTCCCAGCACAGGCCCTGGAGATCACTGCCACCCATGGGAGTAGGCACAGTAGAGGCCTCGGCAGGGGTGGGGATGTCCCTAGGCCCATCCCCATCCCTGGCTCACAAAGCCTGCAACTAGACTGTCCTTAGTCCGGCAAAGGGCTGCAAGGAGATGGGACTGCCCGGGACGGGCACGGCACCACCTCATCCTGTTAATTTAAGAGGCCCATTGCTTTCCAGGCCCAGCCAGATTTCTATCGCAGTTCACTGGCTGACCTCATTTAGACCAGGAATGGGTGTAAAGAGGAGTCATTTGGAACTCCTTGAGCGGTATCTTTACAGTACGGGTCTCTCTCCTGGAGCCCCTACCCTTGTCTCTCCCTGGCTGCCCCCGCGGCAGGGTGGGGTGTCCCTCCTCACTCTGGCCCCTCCCCAGGTGCCTCTGTCTTTGTGCTTGCCACAGGGTTCTGGAATCACTGACCCATCCGTTACAAATATCCCAGACCCAACCAAGAGCACTCTGAGAGCTGGGGCTGCAACTTTCTTCTCTGAGCCCCCACAGGCCCCAGTGCTGGGGCTCGAGACACGTTCACTAAATGGATGCATGTGAGCAACAGAAACAGACGGTGGGGCTCAGGTATTTTCACTCAGGGCTCCCCACTCCCCCGTAAAGTCAAAAACTCCAAGTGAGGATGTGCACCCTGTCCCCAGATTGAAGGTGGAGATGGGGCAGGACCGCCTGGGGTTTGAGAACCCCACTGTTGAGCACCTTGGATGGGAAAGACAGCCAGATGTGTCCAGGTGAGAAGAGGAGGAGAGGACTGGCTTTTTGGGTGACAGCACTAGGCAGAGGTCACCTGGCCCCCCACTGGGCCGTCATCCCTCCCAAGACTCACCCGAACATGGCTGCCGTCTGCCGCGTGTTCTGCTGGGGTGGAGTGGAGGTGCTTGTGGACAGGAGGGCATCGGTGCCCGCCTTCTCCCAGTCAAAGGCCTCATTCTCAGCGATGCCCCGTTCCTTCATGCTGTTCTCAAACACCGACATGATCAACTGCAGGGGTGGGGGTGGCGGGAGGACAGAGAGGTGACCCTGGGGCTAGCCAGGAGGAAAGGACAGTTGCCGGGATTGCAGAGGGAAGAGAGGGGCCTTCCAGGACAGGGATAGGCCGAGAAGGGGCACTGGAAGGAGAAGGGCACATTGATTTTAAATGAAAACATGCACATGATATGCAAATCAGTACGCAAATTACTATCTTGGTTTGAGCCCCGCTGGCTGGACACAAGCCCTCTGAGATCTGTCCCTTGCTCACCATCCCCAGCCTGCTCTGCCATTTCCACCATCTGGGGGGGGGGGGGGGGGGGGGGGGGGGGGGGGGGAAGCCTCCGCAGCCTGGAAGCACCGGTCATTTCCCAAAACCACCACCTGGGGTCATGCTTCTGCACAGGTTGCTTCCTCCGCCCACACCGCCTTTACCACCAATCCTCTCTGCTCAACAAGCCTTCCCTGATTCCCCCACCCACACATTTCCTGATCTGCAGCTCGACATTCCTCAGCAGCCAGCACGGGGCCGCACACCGTGTGCTCGCTCACTCGCAGCTGTCTGGTCTGGGGAACCCCAGGAGGCTGAGGATTGGGCGAGGGGAGGGGGGCAGGGCCTTCTATTGCCCAAGTGAGGCATCTCTGTCCACAACCTCTTGGCTCTAGGCTCTGGAGGCGGTGGGCACCTGTAGAACATCAGAGGCCCCCAGACCATTCCACTTTCTTCAAAAAAATTGTTTTAATGTTTATTTATTCTTGAGAGAGAGAGGGAGAGACAGACAGAGCGCAAGCAGGGGAGAGACAGAAAGAGACGGAGACACAGAATCCGAAGCAGGCTCCAGGCTCTGAGCTGTCAGCACAGAGCCTGATGCGGGGCGCGAACCCATGAACCGTGAAATCATGACCTGAGCCAAAGTTGAATGCTTAACCGACTGAGCCACCCAGGCACCCCGGACCATTCCACTTCTGACTTAACTCTCTCCATAATACAGGGCAGGTTCTCTCTGCTGGCAGGACCCACTTCACTGAGGGCCCACTGTGTGCCCGATGCTATGCTCCCTGTGGTGTGCAGACTTGTGCCTGGCACATAGTGGGTCCTGGGCAGAACACTGCTGATGTATCCTCATTCTCCTGTCGGGGTCAGTGGGTCCCCTAGGGGTGTGGTGGTGGCACCTTGGAAAAAGCACTGGACTTGGAGTCAGAAGATGTGCCTGAGCTCAGCCCTGCTCACAGCCTTGCTATCGGGCTTTCGTTTCCTCATCTATGAAATGGGGACAATGCAGAGTTTCGGTGAAAAGTACTCGAAAGCACTTGGCTTCATTAACCGTTAAGTGTTAGAATAGTAACATAAGGAACACGCATTATCACCGAAGGCTCGTTTTGAAGCTTAAATGAGTTAATGCATGAAAGGCACTGAGAACGGAGTAAGCTGTTAAGAAATCTTAGCCATGAAGACTGTTCACAGGAGCACAAAACGGTTTCATGCAGTTGGAAGACCGGGGGGGGGGGGGGGAGACACGAGGCTAAGCCAACAGGGGAGTGGGGCCTCAGCAGTATGGGTGCTGCTGGGGATGGTCACCCCCAGAGAGACGTCTGGGGGTGCAGGGACCAGGTGGTAGGCTCCCACCTGGTAATCGGGCTTGGTGAAGTAGTCGAGGCTGGCAATGTGGTCCAGAAAGAGGTGGAACTCGGAGGGCATGTGCTTCAGCAGCATCCGGTGCTCATACTTCTCCTTGATCATCCCTACCTGCTCCTGGAGGCAACAGGGCACAGGGTAATGGAGCCCCAGCGACCCCACGCCCCCTCCACCTCCTCAGCCCCACCTGCACAGGGCTCACCTTGTCCTTGATCTTTCTCCAGGGCAGCTGCCCCACTGCAAACTCTACCAGCATGTAGAAAAGGGACCACAGGTCATCGTGGCGGCCCATCTCCTGGGGTGGGGGTGGGGGGGAACGACAGGGGAGTCACCCACACCTTTCAGGTCCTTCCTGGGAGCGTGGGCTGATCCTCCACAAGGAGGGGACCCTTCAGGGAGGCCTGACAGCCAAACCCTGCCTCTATCCCTGACCCTCCAACACACATCGAGTATGAGTCTCAAAACTTGTATCCACACAGATTGATGGTGGGAGCAGAGAGGAGGGAATCCCGAAAAACAAGGAAGAAGGTAAAGTCATGGAGAAATGGCCGCAAAATCTTGTTCCACTCATGGCCTCTGGCTTGGCAGCTTCCGGCCCCTGCCCCATACTTCTCTCCCCACCTCAACAGTTGCCCACCCGACCCTCTTCCCCTTCCTCTGCCCCTGACCTGGGCCCTGCTGCCCCCGCATCCTCAGGCCCACAGCTCTGCCACTCACCCGGTTCTTGTGGGCATTGACTGAGGCATAACGAACAGTCCCTCGAAACCCGGCCACATTCCGAGGCTGTAGAAGGGAGAACACAGCAGGACACTCACCCGCTGCCCCTGATTTGGGCCACATCTCAGCCCTGCTAACTGAGCCTAACTGCCTACTTTAACCCTGACTGCTTTCCCTCTCCACCAACCCCCATGCTGGCCTGGTCAGGGGCAAGCCTGACACACCAACCCCAGTCCTACACCTGCCTCCTGACCTTGCTCCCTGCCCCTGTATCCATCTCTGACCAAGGTAGGCAGCCAGATCACAAGGTGTGGATGTGGCATCCACCAAGAGCCCAGGGAGCCAGGAGACGGGCCAAGCGTAGACTGAGCTGGGTGACACTCATATTGAACACGGGCCGGGCTTGCTTAGGCAGCTGCAGGAAAAATTGGTGAAGGTCAGGGGCCGGGTGAGGGGGCCAGGGTTTCCCACGAACAGCAATACTCACGGGCCGAACATCCCCCGTGGTGTTGGTGTACTGCCGGGCCAGCCCGAAGTCCAACATGTAGCACTTTCTGTAGGTGGAGGGCAGCCTGCCCATGGCAAAGTTTGACTGGGAAAGACAGTGGCTGTGACCGTGGGGCTTCAACCCCACTTGGCCCACCTCAAGGAGTGCCAAGAAACGTGTTTAAGAGTAAGCTTTGGGGAGCCTGGGTAGCTCAGTGGGTTAAGCGTCTGACTTAAGCTCGGGTCATGATCTCACAGTTCACAGAGTTCAAGTCCTTCTTTGGGCTCTCTGCTGTCAGTATAGAGCCTGCATCAGATCCTCTGTCCCCTTCTCTCTCTCTGCCTCCCCTCCCCCTCCCCCGTGCTCTCTCTGTCTCTCTCAAAAATAAACATAAAGAGAAAACATCAACATGCGCCATAGGCCATGGCATCCCATCTGAGGGGCAGGTGGGAGCACCCTCATTTTACAGATGAGGATACTGAAAGCCAAAGAGCTTATGGGGCTTCTCCAAGATCACAAAGCAAAGTGACAACCCAGCTGGGGGTTCCAATCCTTAGAACTCCCCAGCAGAGCAGTGTGGCTTAGGGTCACTGTCCTGCTGTAAGGCAGCAGGAGACCTGCAATGTTCTTGCTGTCTGACCTTGGGTCATTCAACCAATCTTTCTGGGCCTCAGTTTTTACCCCTTATTAAATTGGAGGTTCTTACAACGCCAGGATCCAAGATGCCACAAAGTCAGCTACTTGGAATTTCTTACCAAGCCCAGCCCCTCCATTCCTTTTTTAAAAAGAAAAAATTTTTAATGTTTATTCATTCTTGAGAGACAGGGAGAGACAGAGCATGAGCAAGGGAGGGGCAAAGAGAGAGGGAGACACAGAATCAGAAGCAGGCTCCAGACTCTGAGCTGTCAGCACAGAGCCCAACGCAGGGCTTGAACCCATGGACCGTGAGATCATGACCTGAGCCGAAGTGGGACACTAAACTGAGGGAGCCACCTGGGAGCCCCATCCCTCCACCCCTTTTGATCAATTCCTCTGTACCTTCCCAACCCCTGCACCTTTTGAGGTTCAAGGACTAATCAGGGCATGGGTAAGGGAGAAGACAAGAACAGAGGAGAGACATGGTCAAGGGGCAGGCAGGGGTGTGTTCTCCTGGCAGGCAAGGAGAAGGGGCTTGGGGTGGAAAGCAGGAGGAAGGGACAGGTAGGAGAGGCTGCTCCTGCCCAAACCACTGTTCTGGAGGAGAAACCATGGGACCCACAGAGGGAGAGGGTGGGGGAGGGGGTGTGCTTTGGAAGAGGGGGCAGGTGGGGCAGCCCTCACCGGCTTGATGTCACGGTGCAGGAAGCCCACCGAGTGGATGGCCTCAATGGACTCCAGGATCTGCTTGCCCAGCCGCAGCGTGGTGCTCAGCGTGAAGGTGCCTCGCGGCTGGCTGCGGCGCAGGTCGGCCAGATTCCGGCCCTGAGAGTGGGGGCAGGGGGGAGGTCCAGGCTCAGCTGTCATGCCAACCGGCACCACCGTGACACTCTGCCCAGCCTCGTCCCCAAAGGCTTGTGCCCACTCCTCAACCCCAGGGGTCACAACCCAAGCTTTGGGGGGTAAGTGGAGGGAGGATCCCACAGGGACTCACCTGGAGCTGCATCACCACATAATTAAATTTCTCATTCCGGCCACAGCCAATGAACCTGCACACGTGGCTTTTCCCTGTGGGGGCACAGACAGGGGTCTCCCAACTCCCACTCCTTCTTCCTCACTTCCGATCCCAAGGTGTCTCTGGTGCCCTCTTGATTCCTGGTCCCATGACCACTTCTGCCACCACCTCCCCATGCCCCTCTCCCCATCACCGCCCTTAGACTCTGGTTCCATCTCACCATCCCCATCAGCTCTCCCTTAGCCCCTGGCTCCACCTCCTCCCTCCCATCCTCCTGCCCAGGGCCCGCACCTTGCAGCTTTTTGAGCACAGCCACCTCCATCTTGAGGACCTGCTTGGGCTGCTGGGCTGACTCCACCTTGAGGGCCACATTCTCCCTGGTCAGCAGGTCCATGGCCTCGTAGATCTCACCAAAGCCCCCGCCCCCGATCTTTTTCAGCTACAGAGATGGAAGAGGGGGATAGGAAACCCAGGGATCAGGCTGAGCAGCTCCTCATCCCACATGCTGCTGGGTCATACCCTTCGTTGGCGGGGGTAGGGCCAGTTTTGAAGGGGGGGACCCTATGTCTGCCTTCCTTGCCCCACCCACCTGTGTCCCCACTTCCCCTCCTAGTGCCAGAGACAGCTCAGCCCATGCATGCATGTGCATGCACACACAGGGCTAGGTGTCAGGCTGGGAGGTGGGAGAGGGTATGTGACCTCTGACCCCATGTAGACATGGAGACGAGCCTGTGTAGGATTCTGAAGACATCATGGGCCACCATAAATCTTTTTTTTTTTTTTTTTTCTGGAAGGACAAGAAATATTACACTCTCCCCATCCCCCAAACTAGATTGAACAACCACCATCCAGAAGGAAAACTAATTTCCAGAACCTCCCAGCTTCAGGGTGGATCCTCCAGGGAAGCTGGCCCTTCCTGGGGTTGGCAATGTCCTGACAGGTGTCATTAGAGGGAGAGAGTAATGCGGGGGAGAAGTATTTGGGGGAGAGGACTCAGCAAAGGGTATTCAATGCCCATCCTGCTGCTGAAGCTCACAGCACTCCCTAGACCCCTGGTCAAATGCCTCAAATCAGGGTGAGCCTCCCCTGAGGGTAGGGGGTACTGTGGGACCATGGTGCGAATGGAGGTTTGGAGAGTCTGTCTATCCCCCCAGGGGACGGGGCAGTACAGACCTGACCCTCTAGGCCCTCCTCCTCCAGCATCCCTGGGCAGGCAGTGAGAAAAGGCAGAGGGGAGAATTGTGTTGGAGGAAGAGTTCGCAAGAGTGGATGAGCAAAGCTGAGCTATGGGAAGGGATTAAAATCACTTCAAGTCAGAGGCCCCGGGGTCCCTGGAGTGTGCTACTGGCAATGATAAAGGACAAGGAGAAGGTGCAGACTTCTAAGTCAGGACCTGTTTGGTTTAAAAAAGATGTACAGCTCACCTCATGGGTGGCCCGCCCTCGCTGAGCACCTTCCAGAACCCTCACTTGCCTCCGGTTGGCTTGTTAACTCACCAGCACAGCTGGGCTTGCTAGTGATTGGGCGGAGACTGCTCTGACCAGCCAGCCTGTAAACGGACTCTGAGCCTCTAGCATCTCCAAGCCCTCCCCTTAGCATTTATTCAGCACTCAGACCCCATTAAATGTTTAATGGTGGCTGAAGCAAGGGGACGGAGTGGGGGATGGGCACAGGGCTGAGCCAAGGACTGGGAGTTCCCAGCAGGTTACGGTTGAAACAACTCTAGGAAGAGAGAGAAGGAAGAAGGGAAGATTCAGAAAAGAAGTGGAAGTCTGGCTGCATCTTGAAGGCTCTCGTGCTCCGAAAGGACGCAGGAAAAGGGAAAGGGGGAAGAACAGTCTGAAACCAGAATCTCTCTCTACTTGAGATGAAAGTCAGACTCATCGAAGAATTTCAGAATGAGGAGGGGACAGATACAGACTCAAGGAAAGCAGCGTCATGTCTTCCCCTGGGGAACTTTAAAATCAGGGGAGATGATAGTATCTTCTAGAATCCTTTATGGTTTGCTGTACGTGAACATGGAAGACGGGGAGGGGAGGGAACAATAATCACATCTCAGGCTTTGTGCTCCCGACCCACAGAGATCATCTCAGCTCATCCCCTGAGGTTCCTGACAACACGTGGGGAAGGTCATAAGAGTCACCATTTTGCACAGAAGGAAAACTAAGGCACAGAGAGTTAAGTACTCTGCCCCAGGTCACATTGCTAGTAAGTAGCAAAGCCAGGTTTCATTTGAACCCAGGCAATCTGATGCAGAACCCACGCTCTTAACCGCGATATCATAGGAAACTGTTGACAGCACAGGGATTAAAAGTATGAGTGCTGGGATTCAAGCCCAGATCTGCCAGACTCCAAAATCCTCACTGGAGGTGGTAAGGAGGGCTCGGGGCAGCCAAGACATTTCTGGTACCTGCTCCCCAATTTCCAAGGGTGGCCAATAGTATTTCTCTACCATCTTCATTTCCAAAGAGGCTATTTCTTCTCCTCCCTTGGTCCCTTCCTTGCCCCCCACCCCATTACAGAACCTCCCAGGGAGGCAAGCTGGGTATCTGCACCCACCCATTCACCTAACACCCCTCCTCCCCAGGCCCTACAGTCTGGGCCCACTTAACCATCGGGCACAGCAGGCACAGTGGCCCATAATACTTACAGGGAGCCATAAAAACATTTCAATATTTCAAATCAGAAGGTCAAAAAATTGTAGCATATAATATTAATTCATTCCTCTGTATACCAGTGCAGTCATAAAATATGATTTTTACTACTTTATTATAGAGAAAGGGGTCCATGAAGGCAAAAGGGCCCAGGGCCCATGAAAGTCATAATGTAGCCCTGACCAAGCCTGCTAACAGAAATATGTTCTTAATCTCCCTTTGCCAGACCCTATTCCTCCTCTCCTAGTTGTTTTCATGATCCCCTCCCCTGTCAAAGGAACTCCCTAAACTGGAGGGCCAATATGACACAGTAGGACCAACATTTACTTAGGAAAAAGGAAACCTGGTTTCTTGGCCTAGCTCTGGGTCACCTGGAGTGAGTTTCTTAAATTCTGTGCTTCCACTTTTCCTCCTCTGTAAAATGAAAGAGTTGTTCTAGAACGGGTCTGAAAGACTCCTTCATCTCCGTGCTCCTGATTCTTGGGTGGGCTAATTCTTTCGAAGCAGTATGGCTTAGTGGCTGCTGACCCAGCAGTCAGACAGACCTGGTTCCACCCAGTCTTAAGAACTTGGCAGGTTAGCTAATCCCTACCCCTGTTTCCACACCTGTGAAAAGGGGGTAATAACAATATCTACTCCATCGTTTGTTGAGATAATGCACCGTGTCTGGCGACAGTGGGGGCTCAAAACAAATGCTGCTTTTATCATTTATTATTATTATTATTATTATTATTATTATTATTATTATTTGCTATTCTGATTCTGAGAAGCACCCCTCAAGAAGAGTGAAACGTTATTATTTGCAAATACTCCACCTAGTGCCACTGACCCTCAATTTCCCCTAGCCAGCTCATTTTTCTCTTCAGGGAGCTTGTTCTTGGTTCCTGAGCTCTACCTCATGCCCACGTCCCACCCCTCACAGGGAGATGGCTGAGGGGAGCCATCTGGCACCCCACCCTCTCTAGTTCTTCAGGAGTCAGCCTGGCAGCTGACCTGGAGAGGTCAGCCTGGCAAAGATTGTGGGCTTGCCCCTCCCCCCCAACTCCCTCTTGCCATTTCTCTCCCCACTCATCTCCCATCCCCTCCCTCAAAAAGTACAACAAAGTTCTAATCCAAACTCAGTATGGTGTGAACACCATCTTTTTCTCACCTCTTCAGTGCAAATGTCCTTCTGCCTCCAATCTGTCAGAAACTAGGCTCTCATGTTAGGGGACCGGAGGGTTCTTGGAGAAATACTCCTCAGTTGGCCAGACCCTCATTCCCTTGATTACTGCCCTGGCTCCTCCTCCCCCAATTTCGGTCCTGTCACTCTCCCTCTCAGGAAGTCTTCCTCTGGGACCAAGCAGGCCTTCCCTCAGCTCTCCTGGCCCTCCCCAGTCCCAGAGACTTCTGAGACAATGACAACGCTGCCACCTTTGCTCCTATCCCTGGGACTCTAGGGGATCTGCCCGAAGCGTGGTTGTTGCCATGGAAACCGGCCAGCACCCAGGCAGGCCCCACTCTCCTCTCAGCCTGACAGCTCAGGTGAGCTGAGCCTCCTCCTTCCACTCCCACACACCCCCACATAGAGGCTCAGTGTAGGCCTGTCTGTTCTCCCTCCCTTCCTCCAGGCTCCCCACTCTGCCACGCAGACCCACAAGATCACACACCATCGCCCCGCAATCCACCCTACACCATCCTGCCCCCACAATAAGAGGACCCCAGCGCAATCTCAAGCGACGGAAAGAAAGAGGGGGGTGGGTGGGACAGGGATTGATTTACAGTAGGTCCCGCTCCCCAGACACTGCTTTTCCCCAAGCCCCTCACGTGTCCCCCTCCCATCCAGGCCCAAACCCGGGGGAGGCTCGGACTACAACTCCCAGCAGGCCGAACAGCCTGAAGTCCTGGGCTGGAGGAGCAAGGCACGCTGGGAGATGGAGTCTCGGCGTGTTGCACCTGCCGCAGGAACCAGTGAGGGGAGGAGGGTGGAAGGAGAAGATGGAGTGCGGCTGCGGTGGGAGCAGCCCGCAGGGCCTCTTTCCCTGAAGCCAGGCCTCTCTGTCCTCTGCGGAAGCGGAGGGACACATGCTCACTCACTGCCCTTCTCCAAGGTCCGGCAACGAAAGAGCCCCCTCCCCCACCCCGCCCGCCTCCCCCACTAAGCTCTGCAGCTCCTGCTCCGACGTCCAGCCAAGAGTTGTTCCAGGCTGGGCCGGAGCAACGTGACCTGGCGGGGAAGGGGGTGAGAGAGGGCTCTGGGAGAAAGCGATTGTCCACCAGTGTACGCCAAAATAGTGACTGCAAGCAGTATGCAAATGAGCTCAGGGGCACCTCCCTCTTAGGGTAGAAGAGTTGGGGGCAACTGTTTTAACACGTCTCCAGGTCCTCTCCTCCCCTCCTCTCCCTACCCCTCCCTTGGCCCCGTCGGGTCACTCACTCACCACCTTCCAGCGATCCTTGACCACGTAGTTGGCCGGCAGTATGTCGGCCTGCTCCCCTCCCCCACTCATGTTGGTTTCGTCCTTAAGAGCGGCCGCTAGGCACTGCATCCGCCAGCCGGAGGGAGGGGTGTCCGCAGGGCCTGCCCTGGGGGGGCCATCTACCTGGGGGAGTGGGGAGGGACTGTGAGTGGGGCAGGCTACGCACCAGGACCACCTTGCAGATATGGAGGAGGGCAGCTCCATTCTCCTGGCCGGCATCTTTCCTCGGCCCAGTGGGCAGATGCTCTAGGGGTTACTGGGGGAAGCATTGTGTAAACACCCAGGTGGAGGTCAGAGGAGAAGACAGAAATACTATCCACAGGAAGGGAGATACAAACTACAAACTGGAGATGTGAAAAACAGCAGCAGAACACACATGTTGAAAAAAAGGAGAGAAAAATGCCATGTGAACAGGCTATGGGGAAAGCGTTTCCCAAAGAGAGATATGCTAACTAATGTGGAGGAAACTTGCTGACCCCGAGGGTGGGGGGCGGACGTGGGGGGAGGGGGTGCATACTAGTCTAGGACCCATGCTTGTGTAGGGGACACCTAGGCTGAGAAGGACCAGTCTGAGTGACTTGATCTGAGACCCCGGCACCCACACTTTCCCTGTGCCACCAAATGCCCATGGAGCTGTGCGTCTGGAAGGGGAGAACTGCTGACCAAGGGGTGACCCATGGGAGACACACACCAGAGTGATGGAGACCTGCTAATCAACCAGGGCATGGGATAATCAAGCAAATGAGATACACGAAAGCCCCTTGAGGATGATGCTAATGCCAGTGAGGAGGATGCAGCTGTGAGAAAGACACCTTTCTCAGGGGAGAGTCCAACCCACTGACAGCTAATGGTTCCAAAGCAAGGATGTGAGCTGTGGGGTGAACATAAGGTGATGGACTCATGACATGGATTTTAGAGGGACTGCAGCCCTGCAGCTACTCCAAGGGAGAGAGACAGGCTGAATTGGGGAAGGGGGGGGGGGCCTGGGGACCACAGGGAGTGGGATGGGTCTAACAGGAGGCAGGAGGAATGACAGGGAGCAGCAGGTCTGGGTGGGCATGTGATGAGAGAGCTCTGACCACACCTTTCTGTGTCTGCTCAGGAACAACAAGAAGGAAGACAGCTCTGGTTGCATTGGCAAAGGTAGAAGTTGAATATCAAGGAGAGTATCCCAACTGTGAGCGAGGGCTGGGAAAGCCAGCCAGTGTTATCTCGGGAAATGTAAGTGTGTGCACGCATACGTGTCTGCACGTGAATCTGTGCATGTGTCACTCTGTGAACACGTATATGTCTTTGTGTGTCTCTCTGTGTGTTTATGTGTCTGTGTGTGTGTGTCTTTGTGTCTGTGCCTGTACCTCTGTCTGCATGTGCTTATGTGGTTTTGTGTCTGTCTTTGATGTGCATGTGTATAGGCAGGGGGCCACTTTTTGAGATTTCTGGCAACCCAGTACACGATTGGAGTCATGATCTTTTCTTCTCCACCCCACCCCCCCACCCCCCACTTATATACACTTTGTATAAGCACATTGCTCTACCCTCACAATGATCCTGGAGAGTCACAGACTGAAGGCAGTTACTCCAGCTGGGGACAGGGTGGGGTGGAAGGGAGGTGGAGAGGAGGAAAACGCCTAAGGTATCTATGGATGGGGCAGAAACTCCATAAACCAATCTTTCCTTGGGACAGGATACTTCCCAAGGCTCCTGTGTCTAGCCATCCTGCTACAGGGGGGCAGTGTGGGATAGTAAAGGCACAGAAACAACCTTCAACAGGTCATGGTGTACCGTGAGGGACATGTAGAAAAGAGGAGTGACACTGTCACTCTTTTCCTATCTTGTTCAAGTGACTCAGCTGACTCTTTCCTCCAGTCCACCCAACTTCAGAGTATCAGAGCTGTGGGGATGTCAAATAGGCCTCTGCCCACCTTTTGCCAAAGTGGCCTGTGGGGCATCAGGAATTCAGAGGGCAGTGAGGGCAATGGCAGGACAAAGGGAGAGGGAGGGGATGGGGGCTTCTGGAATAAAGGTAAAGACAGGTTGAGGACAAGACTGAAGAAGCAATTGAACCAGTAGGGAGGGAGCCTGGAGCGATTGAACTGGTGACCTCCGGTGGGTCTTCCATCCTGTAATGGTGGATTCTATAGGTTGATGAGAAAATTTTGGGTGCAGCTCCCAGTTTATAGATGGGCAGCCTAGAAGGAACAGGTGAGATGGGAAAAGGGAGAATGGAGACCAGAGGATAAATGAGGTTTCCCTGCCTCTCCCAGTCCACCATCCTCACTCTGCCTCAAAGGACTATGTTCAAGTCAGACTAGGTTGGACAACAGGCCACGAGGAACCTGGCTGCCCCGTTACTGCCCCCTCAGGACCTTTTGGGTGTGTGGAGGCATGGGTGTGTCGTGTGAGAGGGCTTGTGGAAGAGGTCTTTATGGATATCTGTCAGACAGTGTGAGGCCAACTGTGTGTGTGGGTGTGGGTGTGGGTGTGGGTGTGGGGTGGGGAGACAGGGAAGGAGAGACATCCAGGGAGGGTGGGAGAGAGAGGGAGCTCATCATGGTGTGTGAGTAGAGGTGTTGATGTGTAACTACGCAAGGTGTGAGCCAGGTGTATGTGGGGATCTGGGAGCGCAGGTAAGGAGAGGTGAAGGAGCCCAGTGAGGGGTGGTGGATACAGGTGAAAAGAGGTGTGGAAGAAGGCAGAGAAAAAGGGAAGGGTTGGGGGGGATGACAGGATCGGAGGAGGGGGTTGGGTAAGACAGAGGCAGGTGAGCGATCCTAATGACTGGTGAGGAAGCGGCAGGACCCTGGGAGAGGCTTCTGGGCACCGCCGAAGGGGTAAGGAGGTTGGGAAGGCAGCTAGCGGCAGGCAGGGAGGCACGCAGGGACTGAGGACAAGGGGGAGAGGTAATGGAGGCAGCTGGGAAGGGCTTGTCAGGGTGACAGCCGAGTGAAGCCGCGGGGACGGGGACAGGGGTGAGAAGCGAGGGGCAGAGGCTCTGGGGGGCCGGCTGGCGAAGGCAGGCGCGTATGCTGGGGGGCAGGGAGCCGTTCCAGGCCTCGGGATGCGGCCCAGGCTGTGTAGGCCAGCGGCGGGCGTCCCGGCTCGGGCGGACACGGCGCGGGGAGGGGGAGCTGGGGAAGGCTGCGCTGGGAGGCGAGCCGGGCCCGAGGCCCGCGGAGCCCGCAGGAGAGCCCCCGCCCCGACCCCGCCGGCCCGCCGCCGGCCCCGCCCCGCCTCACCTGCTCTGTGCCCGCTGCGGCTGCGGCTGCGGCGGCGG